TTTTTCAAAGTGCTCTGACAGAGTTAAAACTTGTGAAGCTGGCAGCTCCCACTACCGTGCTATGACCAAGCAGGGTAAAGGAATAGCATTATTACTTGATGTTAGGGAGACTCCTATATATGTCGACCTCCATCCCCAACGGACAGGCAGACCTGCAAAAATGCTCAACCCTTCCTCTTATCTGAGAGGGCACTCCCAACGAAGCCTTTCGAAATATTCAGCTTTCTTTCCCCCCGATAATACCTCTGTAAACAAGCTATACTAGAGCAAGAATATCTCATATCATCAGGGTTAAAAGCAAGAGTATCCCATATCATGCTTTTTCCCTGTCTTTTCCTTTGGCCTTGTTTTTACCTGCAAGACAAGGAGAAAGAGAGCAATCAGTCAGCACTTGGAATCAAGCTTCCAGCCAGGAACTGACTGCCTGGAACCCCTTACCCTGGCATTGCTCTCGAGTACTCATCTTCAACATCTTATGCTTCCAGGGAAGATACCGCATTTGCCTGAGGAACATATAGAGCAAGTGAGAAGGATACAAGGAAGCATGTGGAGACAAGCGTAACAGCACACGTGCCGATACATCCACTACTCTGTCAAAAGCAAAAGTATCCCATATCAGCAGGGTCGAACGTACTCTAGATTTGATGGACTTGTTTTGACCCTCAAATTCTTCAGTCGGCCTTATACTTTGGAGGAAACCAGAAAACCCTCCAGCCCAGTTCAAGAATAAGCCTGTGGAAAGTTACTTCTTCAAAAGCAAAAGTATCCCATATCATCTATTCTCATTTTTCTTCTCTTTATCCTTCATGCTGCCTGCAAGATAGGGAGAATGTGAACAATCAGCCGGAGCTCTGATTGCTTACCTTGTCTGTTACCTCTTTCAGCAGATCCCCTAGCTCGGCGACTTGGGGGACTCCTACTACATGGTTTGTATCGCGCTTGACCAAGCCTGAAACTACAAGTAAGCTTCAAGTGACATTGATACATTACCTTGTGCATCTCCACCAGTTACAGATACCACCCCTGGATGGAGGAAGAGTACTTCCAGAGAAGATTCCACATCTACCTATGAGACAGATAAGGAAAGTCAAGCCGATACCACACTCCGGGACTTAGAAGTTTCGTGGTTACGAGATCATTCTCCCACAATATTTCCTAATGTCATTTGTACTAAATCATTCACTTGTACTCCTTAAAGGAAAGCTTGAACCTATGTACTTGTGTAAACCCTTCACAATTAATGAGAACTCCTCTATTCCGTGGACGTAGCCAATCTGGGTGAATCACGTACATCTTGTGTTTGCTTTCCTATCTCTATCCATTTATATACTTATCCACATTAATGACCGGAGCAATCTAGCGAAGATCACAAAAAGTGACCGTTTTCGCTACCTAGGATCTATCTTGCAAGAGAACGGAGAATTAGATGGAGATCTCAACCATAGAATACAAGCTGGATGGATGAAGTGTAAGAGTGTATCCGGCGTGTTGTGTGATCGTCGTAGGCCACTGAAGCTCAAGGGAAAATTTTATAGGACGGCAATAAGGCCAACGATGTTGTATGGCACAGAATGTTGGGCGGTGAAGCATCAACACGTACACAAAAATGGGTGTGTAGCGGAGATGAGGATGCTTCGTGGGATGTATGGGCACACGAGAAAGGATAAGATTGGGAATGAGGATATCCAAGGTAAAGTAGGAGTAGCCAAAATTGAAGGAAATATGAGAGAAAATCGGTTCCGGTGGTTTGGACATGTGCAAAGAAGGCCTACTGACGCTCCGGTTCGAAAATGTGACTACGGGACAGAAGTTCAGGGCCGAAGGGGTAGAGGAAGACCTAGGAAAACTTTGGAAGAGACCCTAAGAAAAGACTTGATTACTTGGATCTAACGGAGGACATGACACAAAACCGAGCGCAATGGCGTTCTAGGATTCATATAGCCGACCCCACTTAGTGGGAAAAGGCTTTGTTGTTGTTGTTGTTGTGGCTGCGGATCGCCGCCGCTAGCACTACCGCCAACCACAGCAACTAGCTTGCAGCCCGCCGCGTGGAGCACACATGGGAACAACGTCGTCTGATGCCTACCACATGATAGTAGCCCTTTGGGCTTTGCTACTCACACATGACAACCCAGGCCCTCGGCTTGGTAGGGTACTCACTGGCATGCAACCCCAGCCCAACCTGAGAATTATGGATATTATTTTTTGATATTATTTCTCGAATGATTAATTAAATGAATGGAATTGTATTTATGCATGTGACCAATTCAATTAATTTATTTCTAGGTATGACTAATGGGGAAGTTAGTTGTTTGGCTGATAGTGCTACCACACACACCATCTTGTGTGAGCGACACTATTTTACTAACTTCGTACCTAAGAATGCACTTTTGACAACCCTCCCAAGCTCATCCAACTTGATTGAAGGATACGGAAATGCCCGTATAATGTTGTCTAATGGTACTGTCTTAACTATTAAAAAGGCTTCTATTCTCCACGTTCCGGAAGAACGTTGTTGAGTTTTAGAGATATTAGAGATAATCAATATCATGTTGAAACCATTGAAGAGAATGGTTCTGAACTTCTTTGTATCACTTCTTACGAGTATGGCCAGAAGCATATTCATAAGAAGCTGGAACGTCTCCCGAGTAGGTTGTACATCACAACCATTCGAGACATAGAGACCCACCATGTGGCCGGCCTTGAGCCTAGGTTCCAGAGCACCTTATTGCTTTGGCATGACCGTATGGGACATCCCGAACGTGATATGATGCACTGTATCCTCAGTTCATCATATGAGCATCATTTACCTCCCTATGTTGGATTCCCACTATGCAAAGCTTGTTCTTGGGAGAAGTTGAATTCTTAATCCTCAATTACAAAGATTATTCACACCCCTCATCAGTTTCTCTTATTTGAAAGTTATGTCTAACTTAAGGGGAGTATCCTGAAGTATAATCACTTAATCTTTATGTACTCTTTTTCCTACGATTAGTAGCATTTTTCCCACTGGGTTTTTGCTACCTAACGAGGTTTTGATGAGACACCTATCCTAGGATGATCATACTCCGTTAAGTTCACTACTTTCGTCCTGTATGACGTTTATTTTAGACATTATGGATACTTCTCACTTTTTTCCTTAGTCTATGGGTTCATTTGCCTTAAGGTTTTACTATAGCGAGGTTTTGTGAGTTTTATTACCAATGCATACTTTCTTTAAATTTGAGACTAACATTTTCCTGTTGTGTCAACAATTTCATCAACTATTATACCTTATCTGCTGAAGACTTGATGCGATGTTTTGTTTAAGTATTCTACCCTATCTGACTCAACTGGGCCTCATGAAAAATACTTGGGGGACTTAGCCCATTATTTATGTACTGAGGAACGAGCCCTTATTCTATAAAAGTGACTCCCTCACTTTCATTAGAGAGCACCCATTATTCATGTACTGAGGAGCGAACCCTTATTTTATAAAAGAGACTCCCTCACCTTCATTGGAGAGCATCGCAGCCAGCTGAGCAACCGCCTCGCCGCGAGCATCACTCCTAATTCATGTACTGAGAAGCGAGCTCTTATTTTATAAAAGGGACTCTCTCACCATCATTAGAGAGCATCGCCGCCTGCTGAGCAACCGCCTCGCTGCGAGCATCAACTCTAGCCCATCATTTTTTGTATTGAGGAGCGATCCCTTATTCTATAAAGGGGACTCTCTTACCTTCAACGCCACAAGCCGAGCCAACCAAGACAACATAAGCAACAAGCAGAGCAGCCTCGCAACATGTGCTATTTCTAATTGAGCATCATTTCAGATTGAGCACCGCCTCATATCGAATATCAGTCCTAGACGACATCTAGTTACTTCGGCCTACACATGGACTTAATTTCAAATCTCCAGCCAAAAGACTCTCTTGACTGAAGACTTGGGGGACTATTGTTTGTACCATACTTAGGGCCTCCATATTTAGACATCGTATAAATACTCGAGGGACTCAAATGTAATTATGTAATAAATGAAGGGGCAAATATGTAATAAGTGAGGAGCCCTTATTCTATAAAAGGATCCCTCACTTTCCTCATTAAGGAAGGCCAATTCTTAGGCCATGGGAAGAGCTCTCTCACCCTCAGAAGCTCTAACCCTCTCATCCTCTCACAAATAGAGAAATACAATATCAGTGTGGACATAGCCCAAACATTGGGGTGAACCACGATACATCTTGTGTTCTTTACATTTCTTGCAGATTCACGGTCAGATTTACGTTGTTCCAAGATCTTCGGTTTTGTGCATCAACAACCTCCCTATGTTGGATTCCCACCATGCAAAGCTTGCTTTTTGGATAAGTTGAATTCTTAACCCTTAATTACAAAGATTATTCACACCCCTCATCAGTTTCTCTTATTTGAAAGTTATGTCTAACTCAGGGGGAGTATCCTGAAGCATACTCACTTGATCTTTATGTACTCTTTTTCCTACGATTAGTAGCATTTTTCTCATTGGGTTTTTGCTACCTAACGAAGTTTTGATGAGACACCTATCCTAGGATGATCATACTCTGTTGAGTTCACTACTTTCGTCCTGTATGACGTTTATTTTAGACATTATTGATACTTCTCACTTTTCTCCTTAGTCTATGGGTTCATCTGCCTTAGGTTTTACTATAGCGAGGTTTTGTGAGTTTTATTACCAATGCAAACTTTCTTTAAATTTGAGACTCACATTTTCCCGTTGTGTCAACGATTTCATCAACTATTCTACCTTATCTATTGAAGATTTGATGCGATGTTTTGTTTAAGTATTTACACACTCAAGGTGAGTGTTGCAGTTATATTTAGAATAAGAATGTGATTTTGTAAATCTTAGTGTATATAGGGATATATTGAAATATTCTCTTTAATAGATATTATCCTATTATGGTAAGAATTTAACCTATCTTATTAATATAAATAAATGCATAATAAAATGACAACACACCTCACACCTAAATATCTCTCTTTTCTCTCTTGTTGCAACCGGCCTCCCCCTCTCTCTTAGTTAATTAGGCGTACAACAATACGGTCAAATTTTGATTATTTTTTCAGATTTTCAACCTAGGCCAAAAGGGAACAATGGGCGACGACGAGAAGGTGAAGAGCGAGGCTCTGCAGATAATCGAACGACACCAGAACTTGCCGAGTCTCGTCGTCTTCGATCTCGACTACACCCTCTGGCCCTTCTTCTGCGAGTGCTTCTACTACGACGACACACCGTATCTTTACCCGCAAGCCTCGGGAATATTGTATGCGCTCAAGGACAAGGGAATATCCATGGCTGTTGCTTCGAGATCTCCAACTTCTGACGTTGCCAAATCTTTCCTCCAAAGACTGGGTATCCACTTGTTGTTTCTTACCCAGGTTGGTTGATGATTTTCTTGTTTTATTTTCCAATCTGTAATTCGCAATTCTTTAATTGAAATTAAAAGTAAAAGACCTAATAGTTATGAAAATCCAATCGATCGAATCTATCGAGTGGTAAGTAGAATTGTATTTTCATAACTATTTGTGATTAGTTCTTGGTTATCATGTGTTTGTAATTATGCAGGAGATTTTCTCCAGTTGGACTCACAAAACACAGCATTTCCAAAGAATTCATGCAACCACTGGGGTACCCTTTACTGAGATGCTTTTCTTTGACGACGAGGATAGAAATATTCAAACGGTAATCCATCTACTATTTATATCCGTTTTGGAAGATTTTCCCAATAAGACTGCATTGAATTGAAAAACATAGATATTAAAATGGATTTCGGGTTTGGATTTGAACTGATTAGATTCAATGAGTCATTCAAAGCTCGTGTGTTTGATCAATTACATGGTGTTTACAGGTTTCAAAAATGGGTGTGACAAGCGTTTTAGTTGGTAATGGGGTGAACCTTGGAGCTTTGAGGCAGGGTTTGTCCGAATTTGCTCGAAAGTCAGCTTCATCTAGCAGGAGCTAGTAGGGATCGTTTCCCCCCGTCTCAGGACTGCAATGCGTAGTTTCGCATTTGGTTGTTCTGGTGCCAATTCATGCGATGAGATTGATGTATTGTTGCTCGGAAATGAAGTTCATGCATGCTTGTGAACTACTCAAATGTAACTATCATTCATTTAGTGACCTAGATACATTGTATTGATCAACCTGTCATTGGCTAAATTGTACCACATTCTTGTACTACTTAGAAAGAAATGATCATTTATGTTAGTAAATTTGAAACATGCGGTGTGTACTGTCCATTTCCTTTAGATTTTAGGACAGTTGATATTGTTTCGATGTAGCTCCTAAACCTTTTGAGTTTGACTAAAGGCGAACCATTGTTCTGATGAACCGATTTCAATTTTTCTTGTCGAAAACGAGTTTGCAAAGAGAAACTTAATAAATTGCAGAAACATTGGCTGATGCACATAAGCAAAAGAAAATTACATGCTTAAGGGATAAGTCAAATTTGTGGAAACTTGTTCTAGTTAGAAATAAAATACTTATACACGCGTGGGTCGTCATACACAAGCTAAAAAATTCCATGCTATGACTAAACTGCATGATATTCTGAAACATATACTAGCTAATGGTTGAGGTCTCTAAATGGAGATCTTTGATCAGAAATGGCTTCAGATATCTTGACGATGATAGGCGTACGCACATTCTCTTGTTCTGGATCAACAAGTTCATCATTCCATTTCAAATCCATTCCTGAACCTTTGTCGTCAAAAGAGAGCATTATCCTTTCCAACATTCCTATCAGTTGTTTATCTTTAGTGGAGAACTCCCCGATCTTATCACCCAGCCCTCCTATAAACCGCAATAAATTTTCCTTTTCCGATGACAACTGAATGACATCTTCAAGTAAATTTCTTCTTTTATTCTTGAGCTCCTCAACCAAGGGATCCGAGTTTATTAGCTTTGTCTTCATTTGATTAGTCAGTCTCTTCACTTCCTGCTCTTTTGTTTCCAACTGAGCTTCAACCTCCAATGCTTGCTGTTTTGACTTGCACAAGGATTTTTGTTGTGATTCGAGTTTCCGCTGTATATTACAGATTTCCTCCTCAAGTTCCACGGCCATCAATTTCTTTTCTTCAATTTCAAGTGCAGCCATAACCTCAGCAGCAGTGATTTTCTCCCAAGCTTCATAAATCATATCAATTTCTGCCTGTTTCTCGGCTAGCTGTGAAGAGAAAGAAGCTAATGAGCAGTTAAACTTGTGTTCCAAGGACTCCACAAGCTGGAGAAGAACATTCAGTCTCTGGTATTTCTCTTCGACATGCTGGATGAGTTTCTCTTTCTCATACTCAAATGTTCTCTCTGCATCAGTTTGTGCCATCACGAGACCTGCGAATTCCCTTCTCAATGATTCCTGCTCTAGCCAGTGGACCTCTTTCTCAAGTTGCTCAAAGTTCTTGTCCTTCGCTCTTGTGAATTGGAGAAAGATTGAATTCTGTGACTCAAAGGACATCGATGCCTCTGTCTTTACTGACTCAGCATTGTCAAGCTTCTGCTCCAGTAACACGATCTTCTCCTGGAGGTTATCTATTATTTTGTCTTTCTCTTCAAAAATAGAAAGAAGACCCTTTTTTTGTTGCTTTATGGTTTCCTCGACTTCTACCTGTGCAAGAAGAGAAGCTTCCAACTCTTTACGCATTCCTACACTTGCTTCAAGATCACTTCTTAAGCGCTCTGCAATCGATTTCCACATTTGCAATTCGAATTCAATTTCATTTTCTTCAAATATTTTTTCATCCAACACAACATTTGCTCTCTCTAAGGCATCATTAACTTCTCTAAGCTCTCTTTCAACTTCTTTCTGTATAGGAAGCTTCTGGTTATCAATGAGATCCATAACTTCAATTCTACTTGATAAAGATGCTGCCTTTTCATGCTCTTCTTCAGTACCTACCCGTGCTATAATAAGACCATCATTCTTCATCTCCAGCTGTTGCATCAACACAGAAATCTTTTCTTCGTTCTCTTTATCATGCCTATCCATTTCAGACTTCTCATTTGCAATCTTCAACTGTGCCTCAGAAATTCCAAGTTTTAAAACCAATAACATGACGGAAAGCTCCTCATTTTCCAACTTTAGCTGCATACTTAGAAAATGACTGGATTCCAACTCCATCTCGAGCTCTTTTATCGTTGCATCTTTACTCTCTAGCTCATTCATATAGTTGTGCACATCACTCGTCATCTTTTCTAGTTGAGAGTTGCATACAACTCTGTTGGGCCAATTTTCTGTGCGGTCCCTGTGCATCTGCTCCACTTCCATCCTAAGCTCTTCTAATGCTGCACCTTTACTCTTTAACTCAGATTTATGGTTGTTCAGGTCTGCCGTCATACTTTCCAGTTGAGAGCTCCATTCAGCTTCTTTAGCCCTATGATTGGCAACAGATTCTCTGTGCATCTGCTCCAAACTTTTGAGCTTGTTTCGTAGCTTTGCCAGAGAAGGTGAACCTGGTGCTGATTGGATTTGGGCTTCCTGGAGTTCTTTGAGCGAAGCTCGCAACTCCTGATTTTCTTGTTCCAGCTTCCTTGTTTGATATCCCATTTCTTTATGAAGTGCCTCTTTGGTGCTTAGAGACTGTCTTAGTGATGCAATTTGTTTGTCCCTCTGAGCAGTCAAGCATTCCAGCTGCAATTTGGTATGCTCACGATCAATAAAGACGTTCTCAAAGCGTGTTTGGAATTCAGAAACTTGAACCTCCAGATACTTTCTCCGGCTTTCTTCATGAGCCAGGGCTTGGTTGCACCTCTGCAGCCGGTTTTGAAGATCATCTAAAATTTGGGTTTTAGAATCAAAACTTGTCTGCAATTGACAAATCTCATCGAGCAATGAAGACTTCTCCGTCTCCCATTCCTTCTTACTAGCCTTGAACTGTTCACGTAGCTTGTTGTGTGCTTCTTCCAGATGTCTGAACTGCTCCGTCTTCCATTTTAGTTTATCTTGAACTTTCTGACTTTCCTCCTCTAGTTTGAGTATCACCTCATTTCTTTCTCTCAGCTCTTTGGGTGCATTTGCTTTCTTTTCTGCTTCCGACCATTTCCTCTGTGAGACTGATAGACTGCCTTTGAGGTCTTTAATCTCATCTTTATATGCACAAACTGTTTGCTCTTGATCCATTTTCTTTTCATTTGCCTCATCTAAAGCCAATGCCAACGCTCTGTTCGTATCTTCCAATTTTCTGAACTTCTCATGACAATCAACTCGAAGTTTATCGTTTGCAGCCCTGAGATGTTGAACTATGGACTCTTTCTCTTTCAAAGTGCATTTAAGATCTTCACACATCTGCTGTGCCACCGAGATTTTCTCTGCCTTCTCGTTTAGTTCTTGAGTCTGTTGCTCGATTTTGGAACTTGCCTGCTGGAATTTAGTGAGCTGCTCATTGTGTGCTTTCCTCAAGCTTTCGTATAGTTCTGCTTTGCTTTTATATTCTGCCCTGAGCTTCTCAAGCTCAGCTTTAACTTCGTCCAACTCTTCGTAAACCTTATCCATATTTTTTCCCCCTTCAGTTTAACAAAAAGGACCTGTTTGCAAACAGAACAAAACTTCAATATCCAACATATCACAAATTCTTATCACATGAACTAAGAAAAATATAACACAAGACAACATGAACCGAAAACAATGCAGCTGAAGTGTTACACTGGAAATGGCATATCATGTTTCGACGGCTCAAGAACACAAAAAACCTCTTTCTTTCTGCCCTTTTTCTTTCCTTACAAGATGAACCATACTTATAAGAAATGTCAAGAATGTAGCACGATTAGATGACAACTTGAAATTTTGCAGGTAGTTTGGCCAAACACTTGTTTTTTCAGTTAAAATTTGTGGCTAAATGTGTGTGGACACTCAAATTTATTCACTTCTAGAAAACATTTCAGCCAAGAGTCAATACATTCTAACAGAAAATAATGAGGACTCCAAGGAATCCGAAAATGTTCCGAACCAACATATGAGTACATGTATATCAAATGAATAGAGAAACAAAATGATATGAATAGATAAGAACATCCCCATAAAATCTGAATGTGGAATTGCATGCTTTGTTCCATTGTTTGTTTGGTGAGAAAAAGTGAGAAGCACGAAGACACTAAGAGCTTGAATCTAAACCCAACAAAGAACAACAGGGCAAAATCAAGAACTCAATTTTTCTTCTTCTTTTTCTGGGCATTCTTAGCAACCAAATGTTGTTCGAGACCCCGCACCGGAGATTTGACAGAACAAATTCTATAGAAATCAACTTGGAAATTAAGAATTTGACTTTACCCAAACCCAGAAATCACAAGGAAGAAAAAACAAAATGGAACAAATAGTGAAGGAAAATTGCTTAAATCTAGCATAACACAACCAATGACTCAGTGTTTGGTCTCCAAGAAAATACGGGAAATGAAAATGTTTCCTAGTTAGCCTGGTTTTATATCCAAAACCGAGAATTCTATCAATTTCCTGAAATTTTCTCACTAACCAAACAAGATTTGAGAAAAACAAAGAGAACCCAGAAAGTGCTGTGGTTTTATATCAATTACCTGGCTGCGAGATCACAGATTCGACATTCGAGTAGGACTTTACGCAAGTGCTGTGGGTTTTCGATTTGTGGTTGTTTCACTTCTTTGTGCCGAGGAAAATGAGAGGAAAGGCAAACGGGAGGAAAACTCAGAAAAGATAGAGAGAGAAGTAGCCGTTAGGATTCGAGTGGAAATTGAAAAGGTTTTGTACGACCCTACACTAACGGCGTTATAGTGTTGGCTACTAACGGCGTTAGTGCTTTAAACTGTGTTGGAAGTTTAGGACAGGATGGGAATCGTGAAATACTAGCCGTTGGAATTTGGGATTGGATTTGTGTTGGGCTTTTCAATCCCAATTCCTAAGAAATTCGTTTAGGGTTTGCAACATCTACAGAAACAAAAAGGGGTCGATAATGGATGAAACCTACAACACAAATCCTAGCTTTAACCAAGATTTGATTAGGCCTCAGGAATCTCTAATGAACTTTTGACATTTGGTAAAGGAATAATTTAGAAGGGTTCAACCAGATGTTTGCTTGAATGAAAATAGAAATCTAAAATCCATATGAATGAGTCGCAAAGATTTTGTTAAGCCTGAATTAACAAATTGCGTACCAGGTCAAACTTTGGTTGAGCTCGGAATTATGAGTTCAACATGTCCAAACTTAGAGATCTTGGCCTTTGGTTAAAACCATTGGCCAAGATTGAAACATAAATCGACGGTATCACTTTCACCCCATTTTATCACAATATCCGCGAAACTCTCTTTAATGCTTTCTCCATATCATGTAGCCTTCATTTGACCCAAAGAAGTGATTCCCCTTCATCTTACCTTGAAAATCCTTTGTGGCTTTTTTTCTTTTCACCTTGGAGTTTTACCATATGGTAAATTTGAGAGAGTTTTACCATAAGGTTTCTTCCTAAAATGGGTTGTGCGAGTGGAGGAAACAAATGAAATGTTGATGAAAATAAAGAAGAATGCACTCCGAATTTGAAGGAGAAGTTACAATTTCGGAAGGAGTGGAGTTTTTTTCTCAAATGAAAATAAAAAACGAAATGGTTGTACAAAATTGAGTCAAATTGATACCTTTTGTTTTGAAAAAAAAAAACTGTCTTTTTTATTTCTAAACTGCATCTATATTATTTTTCGTTTGGCATTGTAAATTACGTTTTAGCTAACAAACAAAAAAAAAAAACAACAACTAACAAGATTTCATAATGCTCTACAACAACCATTGTTTAAAGAAAATTAACCGATAACATGAGCTACCACATTGGCCTCACGACATTGTCAGCGACATGAAAACTCACGAAAACATAGAGACATAGCCTTAATCGCCTTTGAGAAACCCAGGGTTAAGTTAACCCAAAGAATTTCCCTATCAATTGGTTGTTCGATAACTGTCAATAGTAGGTGGTGTCATCCATATGAATGGTACATTTCATTCATGTGCACTTTTGGCGTTGAAAGAGGGTCCATTTTGACGATTTCAATTTGTAGGACGGTAGCAACTAGCAAGTCATCCATTTGCCATTTTTGTGCCACACAACACAAGTTATGATAAGATCCTTGTCACCACAACCACATGCTCAAAAACACTAGATACACCACATTCTACTGCCTCTTTGTAATTACACTATTATATCCAAAGCTCAAACCTTGAAAGCTTTGCTTGCACACACCAATACTTGGCTTCACAAAAAAAATTGTTAGGAATTCATCCTTTAAATATTTCGTGGCTAGCTAACGGAACTTTTCATGTTATAGATCGTGTACATATCATTATTTTAAAAAATGAATATAAAATGAGATCATGTAGTCATCAAGCTATATAAGAATAGATGATAAGAATGAGTAACCTTTAGTAATTTCCTAGCTGGCTCACAGAACTTTTCATGTTATAGATTGTGTAAATATCATCATTTTAAAAAATGAATATAAAATGAGATCATGTAGTCATCGAGTTGTATAAGAATAGATGATTGAAATTAGTAAAAACATTTATAATATGAGCTGTTTATTTATTTGCTACAATTAATTAACTAAATGATCTTAATTTTTTTTTTTTACATAAATAATATTTACAAAATGACTTATAATATAATACCGTCTTTCTCTTTTTTGGTTACCTTTTGGTGGTAGCCTTTTCATCATTTCATGCTCATGTAACGTGCCAAATGGAGGGGACTGTTGATCCTTTTTGTATCTATTAGGCTGTGCATATGAGTCTTTGATCACGACATTGCCCATGCAAATTGCAACCATTAAACGAGAGCACAAGACAAGAGTTTATTCAACTTGCGGTTCATTTTTTATAATATACATTTATTAAACATGTGATGCCACTAAGAATGTATCTCATTTTCAGCACTCTTATTGTTTCTGTTTCTTTTTCCAATGAAATAACAGTATTTTCACTCAGTAATATGATTTGGTGGTATTCCTCTTTCGCTTAGAAGTGAGAGATCTTAAATTTGAATATTGTAGATGACAAATTTAATACTAAATTAGATTTTCCATTATATGGCTTAGCCAAACTCCTATTTCCCCTAATGTAAAAAAATATGATGTATTCAAAAAAATGAAATAACAGTATTATTCATTGAGCCATGAGGAATCTGAGATGAGTTTATTTTTTTTAACAAACGATATTATTTACACTAAGAAAGATGTGATGGACTTCACCTCATAATGGGGTTAACAATTATATGGTTCAAATTTGGTTTTAGCGAGATTCGAATATAAAATCTCTTACTTATAAATAAAAAAAAAACCACTAAATCGTAGTACGAAATGGCAATCAGATGTCGGTTATAATTTCAATAATTCAATGCAAAGAGTCAAACTGCATATAATTTCATGCTCATTTCTTAATCTTTTCTCCGAAGCCTTAACCCATAGGTTGACATAGGTTACACGTGTCAGTAACTTGCACCGCAAACACACGCAGTGATTGGGTTTTGGATCCACCACGTCAGGAAATTTGGAATCCACCCCACTAATCACCCCAATTTTAAATTAGCCCATTAATTAATTACACGACTCGGAAATGATGCCAAACGATCGGAGGAGCACAATAAGATTCATACTCCGCCGCACTATCTGAACAGAAAGGCTAGATCGCGACCGTCGAATGTGCCACGGTAGAGTCCAAAATAAAAATGAAAAATAAATAAATAAATAAATTGGAGAGGATTTTTTTTATAAATTCGGAAGCATACGTTAACTAGCAGTTGGTTTCTCAGAAAACACAGGGAGAGGGAGAGGAAGAAGAAGAAAGAAGAAGAAGACGACGGTGGCGATGACGAGGCTGCGAAAACCCAATTAATTCCTCTTCTCTTTCTGAATTTTTGCTTCGCGGTTACTCGACCTCCGTCTGCCGCCATAGTTTTGTTTTGTTTTTTTTTCTGGGCAATAAAGTACCGATTTCACCCCTTTGGAATCTCGAAAAATTCAGACTTTGTACTCGTGGTCGTGACCCAAGTCTTCCTTTTCAAGTTTTTGGGGTGGGTTTTGTTCTATAAGTAAGATATTGTCAGTTTGCGGACTTAAAATTTGGGGATTGTTTTTTCAGGGTTTGTGATTTTCCGATGTTTTTACAGTGAAATTTTCTGGGTATATTTGGAACTAAAAAAAAGAGGAAATTGAAGTAATTTTTGAATTTTTTGAATTGGGTCATTGTGTGTTTGGAGTTTGATTAAGTTCAAGTTGGTCTTCTTTGAGTTTGATTCTTGAGACTTTTCTATTAATGGAAAGTTTTAAGCTTGATTATTGAAATTTGATTTTACTAATTCATTGGACTAAAGTTTCTATCGTGTTTGATTTGACCCCTTTGGTCTATGAGGAAAACAAGATCGATGGCTTTTAGCTATCTTTAGATTTGGTTAATTGATCCTTACCTTTTTAAATGTTGTCTTAATTATTGCTTTGGGTAGTGGATTTTGAGTTAGGATATGATTTACTTTTGTTAGTGATTGACAGTTGGTTGCCGCTGCAACAGGGAGGAACCATTTGGGCTTCCCATTCTTTTGGTCTCAAATTTTGAGTCTCTCTGGCCTTTCTACTCCTTTTTCCCTCAATTCTTTGCCATCATCTTTTACCTTTCCACTAAATTGGGGTTCCGAAAAATGGCAGTCTCTTTCACACGTCTGTCATGGTGTTGGTGGGGTGGGAAGGAGAAGGAGCCTGCTAACAGTGGCTCCTCAATGAATTCTTCTTTTGAGTGTGGTTTTGGTGGTCTGAGGGAACCGGGGGCGGTTCAATTCTCTTCGGTTAAGGGCCCAAAAATGGCCTCGTCTCCGAGGAAGGTTAAGAGGAAATGGCAGAGTAGGGAAGAGAGGAGGGTTGATAGGGAGTATGATATTGTTATTGTGCCATCAGATGGTGGTGGGTTTTTGTCAGGGTCCGAATCCGACGATTCGGACTGGTCTATTGGGTGGTTGGAGCCTCATGGCTCTGGCTTCCAGAGTGACGATGACGAATCGGATAATAGCTTTGCAGTGCTGGTCCCTTGCTATACCCCTGGCTGCAAGGAGGTGGTGGATGATTCTAACAAGGAGCTCTTGAGTGCCATCAAGAACCTCCCTGATGAATTCTCATCTGGTAAGAAATATTCTTCTTGTATCTTTTCTGCTTTTGATTGAGTATGACTGCAAACAGCAATCTATTGAAACTGTTGAGTAATTTTTTATTCGAGAGATAATCTAATTTAAATGCGAACTGTTGGGGAATTTAAGTTAATTGATATTTGGATGCTTCTTAGGTAAAACAAAATCTTGTTTTGGGTGATTACTTGCTCTAGGAATAGATAAGGTTGGGTTGTTCATTTCATACCAAACAATTTGTTGGTTCTATTTTGGGGATTTCGAGTCAATTATTGTCATTTATGAAGACATCAATCTGTGACCTTTTATGTTGGGAAATCTGGTGGATAGGATCCTCCTCTTCATCCCACTGCATTCCGTGTTCCAACCTTCCCCTCCCCTTAGATAAGCTTAGATTAAAGTAGAAATATCGCTTGTAATATGGGGGGAAGTTGAAATGCACTGCTCTGTGCAAAATATTATGGTTTTTGGGACCTCATGTTCCAGTTTTTTGGAGACTAGTCGAAAAGGTTGTAACTTGCAGGACTCATTTTCTTGGAGCTTCAAGTTGATTGATCAGCCACTTGGATAACTCTCATCTTTACAACCTGGTCTGATTGGCAGATTGACTGCATGACCTTTGCAAAACTTGAAGAAACACTTGGTTTTTGACCTTATCTTTCCGAATGCTGTGAAAGCACATGAGAATATTTCCAAGTGAACTGCAAATTGTGCATGATAACAAAATCACAGTTACCCTTTTGTGAGCATAAGTCTTGAGATGATTTATTGCTATTTTTGTTTTCTTCTTTGGGGGGTGCGTGGGGCAATTGTGCCGAACATTTCTGAACTTATTATGTCAGTTGGCTCCTCGTTTGCACGAGGAATGAAATTGCTTGTTCGTTTCCTGATCTTCTCAGACTTAACTGATTTTGTAATATTGCAAGGGTTCTGCTAAGTTTTTATGCTCTTAGTATGTCATCCGTGTCAATCAGCATTTTGGTTGCATATGCAGATTGCAAGAACTATATGGAACAGTGGCTTTCTTCTCTTCAGAACTTCGACGCCTAAACTAGCTTATATGTATCTCAAGACTGGCCCTATTTTGACGAGTTGTTTGCCGTGTGATCCTTTTTTCGAAGAATCAAGTCTGTTACATAATTGGATATAAGTAGAAAATAATGCGATTAGGCCTCCCTGCATCAGCAAAATCCTGCCGAGAAACGCAGAAAGATTAACATCCATCAGACTTACGAGAATGATTTCGACACGCCTTTAATTTTAAAGATAGCTGGGAAGACAAACACTTGTTGCTTTCCAGCATATGCAGCGCCGAATGTGAAATATCAAATATCCTTGGAGAATGGAGAATGCTATTTTTGGGTTTGTAAATACTGATTTTGTAAATATAATCATGTTTGTGGTCTCTAAGCTCGCTACTATTGTAACTAAACATTTTCCTGCCGTAGTTAATTAAGGGCCAATGCTGTACTGAATTTTGCAGTAAACACTAACATGTTTGCAAGTGCTTTTAAGATAGTTAAAAGTGTTTTCAGATGGTCAAATATATTTTTGGTAGAGCTTGACAGAAAATAAGAAAATGTTTCTGCGTTTTAAAAGAACTTTTTCACAGAACACTTTTAACAGTTCATGAGTAAGAGTGCCTCTTGCGTTGGCCAAAAAAAAAGTTAGTGCTTCTTTCAAAAGCATTTTCAAACAAACAATTGCGAGTGGGACTATTTTCTTTAGAAAACACTTATGCTCACAACACATTGAAAGTGCCTTTGGAAGAAGCATTTGATAAGTGCTTCTTCCAAAATCACCTTTATAAATGAGAAGCATTTATTTTGTCAAATATAGTTAGAAACGCTTTTAGTGGTCAGAAACACTCAGAATTAAAATTTCGAAAGAGCTCGTTTGAAGGGTCAATTTGTGTGGTTGGTACTTCGAGCCTACTGCCGCATTTTTCTGTGGTGGTGGATTGCAGTGACAATGATGAGAGTCTGAGTGTTTATTTTAGTATTTGTCCTTTGAGATGTGCAACTTGCAATTGAGGGAAAAATTGATTCGTTGTTGGTAGTGGCCAAGTAGCCTTTAGTCTGTCTTTGACGCTGCACAAAGCTCCTTTAATTAACTCCCTTTTCATTGGGTGGAGGAGAGAATGTGTTTGGATTGTGGTGGGATGCCCCCTCATGGTCTTGACCTCTCCAATTTTGGTGTTGAAAATTCAACGTAAACCTTACTATATTTATTGTACTTACGTGAGTAGAATGTTGAGAGTACAAAATTATCCGTCAAACGTTATAATTTTTTATTGTCGAAAATAATAGTATAATGATATATTTACATTAATAGGTGAGAAATTTGGAATATGCCGCACAATGAGTTAACTAAAATAATTTGATATCGAACTCATCATTCACAAAAATCGAATTTAAAACTCTTACATACAAATGAAAAGAAATTTCATTAGACTGTAATATTAAATAACATTCCCACATGCTTTTAAATTCAAGTATGAAATAAAACCACCATCACTAGAAATCGTGACGAATTAAAAGATAGTGGTGCTAGCTACTGAACGTAATTATGTTCACTAGAAAGCAACTGAAAAATGTTGAAGATTTTTGTTACTAACTATTAAGATGTTCATAGTTTTCAGTTAGTCATTTTGAACAAATTGACTATTAAAGCAATAAATAATATCTTCACAATGATTCTCTAATTTCTTTTATTCAATATGAATGACTAAACGTTCATCAAATCAAGTAATTTTTTCTAGAAATGATCTTTAGATGATAAAAATAATGAACAGTTTCAAATATAAAGTTTGAATAGTGAAATGATGCTATGTTAGGAGGGGAGAAATATTGTACGATTTTTGTTAATACAATGATATTATTCACCCTAAGAGAATGAATGATTGTACCATTGTATTAAAAAAAAAAATCTTAGTGTGAACAATACCATTCCCGTTATTCACACTAACAGAAAAACACAACGCGGGTGTCACACTAAGTCATTGAATGGACCAACCATGTTTGAATACGTCTTACATAAGAATCGACCATAAAACTTCTCACTTACTAGTTAAAATGAATACCACTAAACTATAATACTAAGTCACATTGTAAGAATAATAGTTGGCTCGATAAAATTGTGAAGGAATTCCTTCACAAATCATTTCTTGACCAAATTACAAAACTGCATACAATTTTATAAGGAATTAACTTAACTCCTCCTCAACACATTTTGTAGTGAAATCACAGAACTTCCCACTTATGATCAGAACTACTAAGTGTTCGAGGCAAAGGTGGATGGCCCCTTGCACAACTCCCCATAGGTGAATGGCACTTTTGGTGATGTTGGTTGTCAGGTGATCTCTTGCTGCTTGGTATGCTGCAAGATGAGTTTGAAGTTAGATTGAAAGGCACCTTTGTGGGGCCTTAGGTGTAGGCCTTGAGGCTCACAATCAAAACTAACAAAGTGCTAGGCGTGCCAATATTATCTCAGTATAACAGATGTTGAAATAGATATGTTTTAAGTGGTTACTTGCGCCCCAAGTTACTCAAACTTCTTGTTATTAAAGGACTGTCACAGATGGGTTAAGTCTGCATTAAGTTCTTTTTCTTGCCTTATAAATAAGGACTTTTAGTTTATGATCTTGTATGTTTAAATGAAGGGAGTCCAAAGCCCTTTAAACCATTTCCTCCATTTCAGATTATTTTTAATGAAAATAGGTTTATTAAGTTAACCAGATCTGGGTGCAAATGAGACTCTTAAGTAGGAAATAACTAGTGATAACCTGAATACATGCTGAAAAGTACATTTAAAAGATAGATCTGCTAAATTAAAGGATAAACAAAGAGACTTGGGCAAGATTTCTCCTTGTCGGGTAAGGTTGAACATCTTGCAGCCACTTCTCTTTGAGTTTACAAGGGTTGTATGCTAAAACGGATGGCTGGTAAACATGTTTTACACGAGGGAATCGATACTACAACACTAGGGAAGGTAGCATAGCTTTTAAACTAGACACAAGATAGCTTTTCTAAGGAGACTATGACTAAAAAGACTGAATCTATGGTGGTTTTAGCTTTTCTGGATGCAAATCTGGCTTGAGAGCAGAGTTTATATGTTGTTTTATTGGTTGTTTGAGTGTCCTTGTCTCTGTTGTCTCTTATTCCTTTCATAGGTGATTTGGCCCGATTATTAGAGCTTTGTTCTTGACCGAGGGCTCTCAGGGCCAGTGAGTTATCATGTATTTACACCTTTATGCCATTAGAAAATGCTTTTTGACTGGTAGTGAGCTGGTCTCTGTCAGTTGTCACTTTAGTCATAGGCACATGTCCTATGCCTTGGTTGAGAAAGCTTTAGTTTGTCTCTGGGCTTGATGCTGGGCTTCGGGCAAGTCCTTATTTAATTTGGCATCCTTGGGCCTTCCTTCATTCAAACCCAATATTCAAATATTAACCCAAACAATGCCCCTTTTAATCATTGTTAAGTTTGCAAACCGAGGCCTTAATGATGATTAAAACGAACTGCATGCTTTTACTTAGGACTTGCACCATTTTAAACAACCGTTTTTAACTAAACCTTTGCACTAACCCACGATCTACAACGTTAATTAAATGTTCCTTATATAATCTTCACTTAAATTCTTCAGCCAAATACCTTAGCAATTCTAATCCTTCGAATTTCCAGAATTTCTAGATTTCCTATAACTCACTTGCCTTCAACCTCTTTCTTGCTTTATGCCCTCAATTTTCTTCCATCTTTTCAAAAATCATCCAATGGCACCAAAAACTACTCGTCTTGCATACGAGTTTGATTGTAAACATGCGCCGCCTTCTCAACGGTCTTCATCGCCCTCGGGCTGGCCTTAACATTTCAATTTTTTTCGAAGAGGGAGGAGTACACTCCCTGGGGCCTGCCTAGACTTTTAGGGCCCCAATTGCTGTGGCGAACAACATGCCCAAAGCAAATTGATTCACCCCCAACTCATATTCCGCCGAAGCTGACATTTCCTCCTTCAAATGGTCTACTCATCAAATAGGCTTTCCTTTGATGAAGGACGAGGCCTAGGCACAATGGGTAAATGAGCTTGAGCCTATTTACAAAAAAAAAATGGATGAACAACAACATCTATGAGCTCATTTTGCTTTCCAAGGTCATGGTGGTTACCAAGCCTGAGCTTCTAACCACAGCTCTTCTATTTTGGAACATGGGGACCAACACATTCAATTTTCGAATGGGTCCCATGTCTCCGACAGTCCTTGACATGGCCCAAGTCTTCGGGCTAAGGCCCTCAGGCCAGTGCGTGGATGTGACCCACGACTAGTCTTTCTCTTCTCGCTTGACTGCTTAAGGTTCATGAGACTCTGACTCCATGATTCGGTTGGAGTACACCTTTTCAACGTTCAAGAGCTATGGGACTTCATTTGTAGGCTTCATCTTGTTTGCCAAGAGCACCTTTAGCCCACATTCTGCCACCACAAATAAGGACCAAGAGTACATGTACTTTCTTTTATACTGGCTGAACAAGCATGTCTTCCCTAATAAATACAAATGAGTGAAGTTAGAATGGATTCCTTTAGTAGAGGCACTGCAATCCTTCGATGATGTGGCCATAGGCCCCTTCGTCCTTGCCCACTTCTACCATTTCTTATACTAGATGACTAAGGGTGAGCCATTTGAGACTAACCTTAATGGGCCAACCTGGATGGTCCAATTGTGGCTACAATGGTATTTCCCCGACCTTCGGGCCCCAAACTTGAAGTTTCCCGAAGGAATGGCTCCAACCTGCATTCTGGTCGAGGCATCCCCAACTAATCATTCAACATTATCCTGTCTCTATTTCTTCCGAGTTTGCAGGATTTGGGCAGACTTGGAGTTGGGTGCTTCAGTTATGCAAATATACCTATGGTTCTCAGACTAAATCTTTCAGAACGCATTCGGGGAAGACACTAGCCCGTTTTGTAAGGAAAAGTTCGTGAGCTACATCCAACAATGAGACTTGGCTTAGGGAATGCAAAGTGACCGCACATGATATGAGCGTGGGCTGGAAGTTTACACCCCAACTTTAGTGCTAGGCAGTTAGGGGTTTAGACAAGCCATTCCAGTCTATTTTTCGACTATATGCACTGCGGAACCTTCTACTGCCTCCGTTCTCCTCAGGAGGTCACATTTTGGGTAGCTCGGTGTAGCTTAAAGACGATGATTAAGATTGCCCGCAAGACTGTGGCCCTCAATTTTGAGTGCACTTCTTTCTTCTCTACTTGGTGGGAGGCCAAGTGGTCGAGGAAATATGGAGGGGATGTCAAAAAGTCCCATGATTGTCTCTTCGAGCAATTCTCTATCAAATCTTATCCTAAGCCAAATAAGCTTAAGAATTGGAAGGAGATGATCCACCAAAAGAACAAGCTTCTTCTAATAGGTATCCTCTATTGCCTTAACTTGTACTTTATGACGCTTTTATAATCTGTCATCCACTAACCTTTCTCTTGGTTATTTTGAACTTGCAACCCAAGGTAACACTGGAAAAGTGGATGTCGGG